TTCCACTAGCATATAAAAACTGATTGTCTTTTCATTTTCGGAAGTTATCTAAATGAGTTCTCCGTGCGTGATGTTATCTGTTAGTACCAGTCTCCGGTTGTGGCGTGATTTGGTAATTTTCCATTCGTCCTCTATTCTCTTTAGTCATTTTTACTGTCTACGATTCCTGGTTTCAGAGTATGACATTTCGTGACAAGATGAATTTAAAGAATAAGGATAAAGCTGAGGACAATTTGATGAACAAGTACAATCTACTTTTGAATATGGTTCGTTTAATCAATGCAAACCCCCTACTGATGCTCTATGTAAGTTTTCCCCTTATTATNCCTTATTATTCCCTGTTCATTTCATTGTTCATCGTATACTAAATAGACGCGGAAGTTGCATTCATAAAATTACACAATACAAACTGTTTTTTCTGTAACTGGATCATCAAGGCGCTATCGAACGGCCAAAATTTCACTCCCATTTCAGTCGTAAAACTTGATCAATGCTTCGGTTTCTCCTCTCCCCTACATGTTTCAAACGGTAACTATCAGACTTCTTGCGTCAATTCCTATTGTTTCTTCTGACAGCAAAAATTAAGGACTTTTATCACGCTCAATACGTTACATGTTTGTAGGGTCTTTTGTGTACTCAACACTTTCACCAGCAAAAAAAACCCAACTGGATTAGAACTAATCTGGGTGAACTCGTAAACCGTACTGTGTTTCATGTAGCGTTTAGTTTTAAGTAAAGAAGATTACCGGTTGGGGGTGCAACAAGAGTGCCATCAATAAGGAACAGGCTGAAATGTTAACGCGATTGTGTATGCTGGAAATAGGGTTTAATCATAGATAATTATCCAAAAGTAACATGCAATTTTTTTCGCATTGCAAATTTTTATTTCTTATAATAATCGTCATCTTTTCTGAAAGAGTCCTTGGTTGTAGTTGTTATTGATACAGAGACTGAAATCAGTCTTGTTTCAGCTAGTAAAATATGTTGAATGTCAGTTACTTGCGATTGTCTTGTTGTCGTGTTTTTTATTTGCTATTTCATACGTGCATAGTTCCTTCAAATCTTGTATACGCAGTGTACACATTATTCCCCTTCAGTGTCCTCAAACGCGCCCTAGTTCGGATGCACAACGCGCTACATTTGAACTGATGAATGGTCTAATGTCACTTATCCAACAATCGACCATGTCCGAACTGGCTCAGGAGGCTATGGATGCTCTACTCTGTCTTCATCAGCCAGCCAATATTCGTCTATGGAATTTGCATTCACCGGCTCAGGCTTTCTGGGAAATCAGGTACGGCTGCGTTCTCCCTCCCCCCCTCCTCTCAACGTCTTATTCGAGAGCATTCCTACAGTTAATGACCGTCTTTAAAAATTATGATACTATTTTACTTCCTTTTTCACTAAATAATTAGAAAATTAATTTTCATGATGTTGGAAATTTTCTGGGAGTCTGAGAAATCAAGGTAGCCAGATGGAACTACAACATAACCTTCGGGTCCGTGTGCTGTACTCTATACCGCCCGAATTTTTCAGTGAATAAAATCTGTAGCTAAAGCGTATAATGCAGATAATTTTCTACTGTACCTGTAAATTGTACCGTGATTTGTTTGGCATGTAGTCTGGACTGGGACACTTGTGAAATTTCATATAACACATTTGTAACATTTATTTTCCGAGACGGACTTGAATAGAGCGCACAACAAAGCTAGGTTGTACGATTTATGTCAAGGCAGATTTCGCTGCATCTCAACCAACTACAGTTTGTATCGTTGAACAGTACACCAAGTTACACACAAAAACGGCAGAATGATTCGTCCTTGTCGTATTCATGTGTAACTTGATATGCTATTCAACGATATAAGTTATGCATTTTTAACAAATCTGATATATCTTGCACAGCCCTGATCAAGGAGTACACCAGTTTGGAACCTATTCAGATGTGTGGAATTTTTACAGTGCGTATACAGGCGGGTGCTATGAAATAGTTAGAAATGCGTTGGGGATTGGTGAGAGATATTGATTTTACATCTTCCTGTCTTTGCAGGTTGGTTGGGTAGGGTTGCTAATACGGAAACAAGCACGTCTAGATAAACACCTCGATCGAATTGTCGGTGTCACATTGATTTGGTCAACAGAGGTTTCATCAGCTAGAGAAGTTTATTCATGCCTATTGATAATTTTTCAGACCGCTTTCTTTTCCCGATTCATGGTAAACTTAGATTAGATTCTAATAGATGATATAGACCGTTCAAGAGCGTGTTCGGACAAAGCTTAGTGATTAGTTTTGGATGCAATCCAAAACAAAGTTCACTCCAAACGCTACGATACCGTTTGCAAATAGTTAGACAATCTTTGACTAATCATATCTCAAAAGTTTCCCTGTAAACTTTCGCACTCCAAGGTTTGAAAAAAGCTGATATAGCCACTGAATCACCGTAAACATTGGAACTGTTATGAGATTACCCAGAACTGTCACTAAAACGTTCAGCGCAAGCACTGCACGCGGTAATTCGAACCTAATGACAGTGGGATGTCAAAAAACAAGCAGAGATGAAATCTCACAATGGTGCAAACAAATAATCGTGAGTTGTATTCGTGCAGTGTCAGTGTGGGGGTGAATATTTTCTTCACGTCGTTTCATACCAATGATTAGGAAAATGCGCGTTTCTTGTTTCACGGGGTTTCCAGGCTTATAGCTGACATTGAACTGTGTATCTGAAAATTGATAGCCGTGGCACACCTGTCGTTTGATAACAAGTCTGACTGAAGATGTGTATGTTCAGTTTGACGTTGCTCCAAGTAGATTATAGTGGTTTATTTTTCGCTCTTCTTAAATAAGTTAATTTTATTTTTAACTGAAACTGTTGTTCATCCCAAGCTCGGTCCATGTTCATGAAAGTTCAAACTACTCTGTTGCAGAAATCATACTGCACAAAATTGCCAGTACACTCAATACTTGCCGATTGCTATAGGACTTTAAAAAATCGCATTTACTTTTCTCGAGTTTTAATGTAATTGTGCTATAAATAGTAATGCTTCGTAATACTCTAGTGTTTGTTCACCTCGAATGCCTCCTTTTTGTCGTTCAAGTCCCCAACTTCTGTACAGTATTGCACAAAAATTGATCAATCGTAACATTCCAAACTCATGTGATGTCCTTAAGTGGCTTCGAGAGATTTTGATCTGTCGGATACATTTTCTCGAGCAGCACTATGATTGTTTGAGCGGACCCCACTTCCGAGCTCTTCAAAAATCCGATTCGCTACCTCCTCCGGTAGATACCGTCGAGTCTCAAGGACACACCGTTGCACGCGTGCCACAAAGGCTGATGAGTACTGCGACCCCGGTCGCAGGTNCGCAGGTATGTTTTTTTCCTATTTTCAACGAACTTATTTCCGAGTATTCTGTGGTTGTCAGTTTTTAAAAATGTTTTTCTATTTCTTAACCGACAAATAATCATGTAACGTGCTCTTTTATAAAACTTTTTGTCCCAGCCTTCAGACAGAAATCTGCTTATGCAATCAATACTTATTTTGGTATAACTTCCACTGCATAATTGAATGTAAGAAGTTAAACTACTCAATTAATGGACCGAAATTTGAACGCGAATTCGGAAGCAATTAAACTCATCTTATTTAGTTGCTCATTCATCCATCATTGTACGCCTATTTATTCATGCTTATTCGTTGGACCGCAAACCGTCTCCTCGGCAGTCAAACTATTTTTTGCAGTGACCTCGGTCAGGTAACCGGTGACCGATGAATTTAGTCATTTTAATGACTGATTAAAAGCGATATTTAAAAATGTAGTGTTGTTATATCTCTTTTCGAATTGGGTCTGCATGCGAGATACCATTGCGAAACTTGTGAGATGTTAAATCTGTTCCCATTCATCTTTAGCGTCGGAGGGCAATAAACAGATTTGTTTTCCTACCTTTTGTAGTGCCATTGTTGTATTTCCATTCAAAGATTTCATTTTGAAAATATCTACCTCTATTAACTTTCTCATACAGGCGTTTATGATCCTTCAGTGAACACAATAGCCGACCACAACACTCTACTCGGCTCTTTGGGAGTGAAATCAAAACGAAATCGGATGGCTCTAATCAAATTGGAAACCGTATTTTTTACCTATCTATGGTCTCTGGATCTAGAAGCAGTTCTTACTTCTATGTCATGCTTCCGCCTTCTTTGCCATGAAGCTGAACTGTGGAGCAATGCAGCGTCAGCATTTGCCGTCACCACTGACGACCGTGGCACTTTCCATCGATGTGAATGCCTACCGAGTATGCATAACATCACTTCTGCTCCTCGATCTGCTAATGAAATGGTCGATTGGGATGCAGACTGTGCGACCAGCTCCATGCTGAGCGAGGCTTTGCTCAGTTCAACAAATCCACCTAAAGGATCCACCGGATTCACATTTGAGTTGTGCCAAAAATCCCCTCCGGAAACATCACGGCCTCAACGTTCCTCTCCCAGTAGATTTATTTCCCCCCTCAGTGCTGCCTCAATTGAGCCGCTCGTAGATCAACAGCCAAATCGGGGATCTGCAGTCGGACCGTGCATTGCTTTATGTAATTGTGGTTGCCCGCTGTGCACCCCAGCTTCTTATCTACCAACCCTTGGACCGACCGAATGTACGAGTAGTGGAGGCAGTACAGTGCCTACTTCCTCTCCTGTTTTTAACGGTGCCCAATCCAGCACTGTCTCGGTTGCGAATGAGTCAGCTTTCGTCACTTCCGACAGCAGTAAACGTACTGAATTAAGCGCTACTTGTTCAGGTGGTTCACCGTATTCACCTATCCATGTATTGTCTTCTTCCTCGTCTCCATCATTATGCAAGAGTCCTCAAACTACCCGAGCTGCTAGCCACCAGTTACTCTGTGCCGCGAAATCCAATTTATGCCCCTTAAATTCAGCCTGGGCGTTCCCAGATGGACGTCTGCCAGACTTACTACCAGTCTATGAAGTGTATGCGGAAATTGCTGAACACAGTCGCTCAATTATCACAACGGGGAGAGCGCATCTTCAGAAACAAATACTGGCTCTTTTGCGCAAAATCAATCACCAAACACAAGGAAATAAATTGGTTAGTCTGATTTTTGTTCTTTTGCGATGAGTATTCGTATTACATTAGCCGGTTCTAAAAAGCTATTTTAACTATCGGAAAGATATTCTGTTGGACTGTTGGTTTTGCATGTTAATTTTATAATAACTAACAATTCAGATGTCAAATTTGCAGCCTACCTCCTCCCATTTTGTGCTGTTTTTTGCTTTTGTTACGTAGTATACAGCTGCATAGTCTCCCGGCTCACTACATCATCATCGGTTCTGTTCAGTGATTACCAATTAGCTTAACCGAAAAATATATCCTCCTGATTGTGTGGCTTTTGGTTTACCTCATTTATCGCATCAAGATGTACGGTAAAAAGGGTTGAATTAAGCATGTCTCCAACATTTCCCATGGCATTGCTAAGAACGGACAATATGGTCAAAGGAAAGAAGCAATAAAACATAATAGAATAATAATCCTTGTAGTTTCGCAGTAATATCCTGTTTCTACTTGTTTATCAAGTTGTGGTACATACTGCGTCCCACTGAGTTGTTTTATTAATTCATGTGGAACGTTATGTAAAGAACCTACAACGTGTTTGTGAGCTGGATTTGGCAGATGGATAGATCACTATTAGGAGAATGAGCTGGGTCGCTGATAAACAGTTCCCAATAGTCCTTGGGTCCAAGGGGAAATATGGCTACCAAATAGTGCCTGGGACTGACTTAATTCTTTTTTTTTATTGCCCAAAGGGATTCGCAAGTAGAACAGTGAAAATGGTGCAGTAAAAGCAGTGGCAGAAAGAAAACTAAGGTGATTTTGAGTCAGGTTTAACACTGACGTTCCTACTCAGAAGAACAGTCAAAGCCATTAATTAACACAAGTTTCTACACGAAAAGACCAACCTATATTCTCTCTCTCATTTAACTCTTTGCTTTCGTTCGTATTGGTGTGGTTTTGGTTACGGAAATCATCACTAATAGTTCTCATAAATATTATTATTTATTTTATTCGATCGCACAGGGCTAAGAATTTGCTCAGAACATTTAACAGTGTTCAGGATGCGATGCTGTTGTACGCACAAAATTTCGAGAAATTGACCTAATATTTAAACATACCTCTGTGGCGCTCATGCATCTACTCATTAATATTGTAACATCAGTCTACAAAAATTTGCAATATTCCGCTTGAATCTGCTCTCAGCATTCTAATCTTTACTCTGCTGTTCTATCCAAAGGGGCAACCAAAAGATAGCAACCCAAACCGACGCACGAAAAATCATGGTTAGTGTTTGTAAGAGCTGAACTGTTTCATTTTGTTTCACGTATCTTGTTGACATATTGGTCAGAAAAACAACATTCCTTACCTTTTGCTTCAATTGATATTGACTTCTTAATGATTTTTTTCAGGCTTGGGAACATACTTACATGATTTGGTTACGGAGTACCAAATTCCTCATCAACTATCCGAAATCTAAAGTCTCAGTTTCGACGGGTGGACCTGAAGATTCGTGTTACGATGTTCCGGCAACTCACTCATCAAACAGTACCGGCTCCGGTTTAAATGCCAGCGCTGGTCCCAGTAGTGTACTGGATGATTCCGCTTCTATTGTAAGCGACATGGACTCGATTGGCATCGCGGGTGACGGAACCAGTGGGGTTGGTCGGGACGGTCGCGTTGGTGTATTTGGTACATCTTTAGGATTAAGCGTAGCGTCTGCATCGTTGCTGGCTCCGACCGGGATTGATTTCAGCGGTTCTGGCATAAGTGGTGTTTCAGGAGCTGTAGGAGCAAGCGCAAGCGCTTTCAGTAGTGCTGTGGCTCTATCTGCTGCTAGCAGTGGTGGTACGTCTGGATCGACACGGTACTTAGCCGTGAAGCGTCGAGTTAGTCAGCAAGCTCCTGCGACAGATCGAGAAATCGAAGATGTGTTAAACGAGTGGGCGAATATGACTGGGTTTCTTTGCGCTCTGGGCTCAGTCGTGCTCAATCCACAAACCACTCAAGCTTCATATTCCTGTGTAAGTAATTCTTGGACGACACTTCTATTGCATGGTTGTCTTTTTCAGAGTTGTTTCCTCACTTATCATTTATTCAGATGTAATTTTGTTAGGCAGCATAGAAATTACTGTCAGACTGTAATTGTTGTGAGTGGTTTGATTTTAAAGAACAGAACCAGACCGGTCTGGTGAGATTTACAGATAGTTATTTTCATAAAAATGAGATAAGGCTCATTGGTAACAGTTCAAACGCTTCTGGTATCCTTCGATTCCTTGTGAATTTAACATATTGAAATAACAGGGAGTATACTATTCATGTGATGGGCGGTGGTGGCCCGGTGATAACGTCACAGATTAACACCCCGGAGGACCTGTTTGTGTTCGATTCCCACCACCACCGCATGACTTCCCGCATTCTGTATATTGTTTGGCAGCCCTTTGATCGGTCGCTTTCCCCTCCCTGAAAATCGTGTCATTGTGTTTTTTCAATAAAAGAAAGTAAAAAATTAAAAAGAAAAGAAAAAAGCAACTTTCATATTATTCGTTGGATATTTTGTAACAGCTCGCTTCCAACAACAAAAAAGCGGTTGCGTTAACTTTTTTCCTTTCACCTGTTATCCCAATTACAGAATCATTGTATTTGCGGCCGTAGACCACATGAATCATCACCTAACTCGTCCACAAAGACATATGGTTCAGGTACTGTGTCACCGCATTGGATGCACGCAGGCGTGGATGCAAAGCCAACATCCTCAAGTCATACGAAAAACGAGCCGGTCCTGGACGGAAACTCATCTGCTAACAGCTCTGAGGATGGTGGTACTACGGAACCGAGCCAAGTGACTGTTTCATCTACAGCTACACTAACCACTACATTAGAATCGGATCGAAAGATCTCAGATGCAGAACCTGGTTCAGACGCTTTGTGTGATGCTGATTTCCGCTTGACTGTAGAGCAGAAACGCCTGGAGGTATGTTTCTCATATCTTCTTTATAATACCTTTAGTAATTCTTCATCACTAAAACGTTATTGACATTTTTGTATAACAGTTTTTTATTATTCACCTCTGCTTTTCGATTCCCATGTGTAAAATTACCCTTTTATCACCCATTTAGCTTTCGACAACTATTGTGGACTCCAACGTTATTCGCGTCCGCTTTACACAGTTCGTACCAGAAGACAGCTATCTAAACGCATCGAGGAACATCAATCCATGTGGCTCAGACACGGGGGGAACGAAGTTATCTCCAGTTCAATTATTGCATACTTGATTTATGGACTGAGCATATATATATACATATATATGTGTATATAAATAGCACCAATCTTTACGGATACGGCGCCAAAAGTAACCATGGGTGAACGAAAACATATAGGTACAAAAGCGGAGAAAATAAAAGAGTCAACTTCGGGGAGTAATAATTTTTTGTTTACTGCACGCCATCTTGAGGGTTTTTTTCGTTTTTGTTTATTTTTGGGATTGCAAACGAGAGGATGCATTCGCGCCACTGACTTCGGTTCGATGCCATATCCCGCAGTGTCTCCATCCAAATGCAATCTGAATCTTTGGGGCCCCAGCCGGGGAGCCGAGAAACCTCAATGGAAGCCAGATTCGAGCAAAATCTCCTTAACCCTCTGCGCCACGTCATAGCCTGTCCACCTCGCTGTTTCTTCCAGCCTGGACCGATGTCTGCGAATGGTGCACGGTATGGCAGACGTTGCTCAGGTATTCGTAGGACGTGCCCTAGCCACCTAAGACGATGCTGTGANTGTTTCTTCCAGCCTGGACCGATGTCTGCGAATAGTGCACAGTGTGACAGACGGTGCTCAGGTATTCGTAGGACGTGCCTTAGCCACTTAAGACGATGCTGTGAAGTTATTTCGCTCAAAGGAAAGCTATCTGATTCTAGCACCCGTTGTCTGACTTCATCATTTTTCACGCGATGCTCCCACCATACGCGGGTGATGTTGCGCAGACAACAGTTGTGAAAGACTGATAGTCGCTGGACGTGATCTGCTTGGAGAAGCCAGGTCTCGCATCCATAGAACAACACGTTGCGTACCGTTGCACAATACAGACGCCCTGTAAGTGAAAGGGATGTCGCGCCGGCGCCAGAGATGCCGCAGATTAGCGAACGCGAATCCTACTTTGATTGCGTGTTGAGAGATCTCCTCACCCACATCTCGGCCGGCCGTTATGCAACTCCCAAGGTAGACAAATCGTTTGACTACTTCCAGAGTGTCATTACCCAAAAAAGGTGCAGGAATGGGCTCCTTCCAATCTTGCAACAACACTTTGCACTTTGAAGGTGAAAATGACGTACCATAGCGAGTAACCTTAATTGTCAAACAGTTCAACTACTTTTGAATCGTTGGTGCGTTGTCACCCAATAAGGCAATATCATTGGCGTACGCTAAGTTTACGACTCTGTCCTCAGGAAGAAGCTCGACGCCAGCGCTCGTTAAGTTATGTAACGCGTTTTGTAGGACATCATCTATGGCAAAGTTGAAGAGAAACGCAGAGATGGGGCAACCCTGTTGCACCCCACTGGTGACAGAAAATGAGGGTGAAAATTCACCATAGGCCCTAACCTTCCCCGACGTCTGATGATAGAGCGCTTTTAGGAGTGAGACATACTTCTTGGGTACTCCGTATCTCCGGAAGCAGTTCTATAGTGCGGGGAGGTCGATCGAGTCGAAAGCCGCTCTGCTGTCTAAAAACACGACAATGGTTTGTCATCTGTGTGTAGCGAGGCTATAGTAGCTGACGAACAGTGAAGATTTGATCTACGCATCCACGGCGTGCACGAAATCTGGCCTGCTTCTCACGGAATGGGCATAACTTGCTTAATAAAACGGATGCCAGCGGCTGCGGTGCTATTGGATCAGACTTATGCTCCTGTGGTTGGAACAGGCCTTGCGACAGCCCTTCTTGTAGATGGGTGTGATAATCGATTCTCCCCATTTTTGGGGTACACTTTCAGTTTCCCAGATATTCGAGAACAGTTTCACAAGTTCTCTTACGAGAGCATCTCCACAATCGTTGAAGAGGTCAGGTGGCAGGCCGTCAGATTCAGCTGCATTGTGGCGTTCCAGGGCTTGGAGCTCCTTTCGGATCAGTTCGAGTCAACAGCTACAGAATGAAGCGCCGATGCTTATTCGTCGTTTCGGCGTATGCACCGACCGATTGCAGTATACCTGAAATGAAGGATGAATTCTACAAGGACCTCTCCCAACTGCTTCAAAGTGCTCGGGCAATGGACGTCGTAGTAGTTGCTGGAGACTTCAGTGCTTAAGTGGGATCCCTGGACGAATCAGGAAGGCTTCTTGGCGGACCACATGCAATCACCAGCCAACCGGACGGACAACGGAGATCGCCTACTTCAACTCTGCGCGGACCACGGAGTGTTTGTGTCAAACACGAACGTTTCGCACAAGAAACGCCACCGAATAACATGGAAACCGCCAACCACTTCACTGCGCTGGACCCAAATCGACCACATCGCCATCAGTTACCGCTGGAGGGGATCAA